AACCAGCCACCTACAGGCTGGCACCAAACCCCTGCGGATACCACTAATAGTGCAGCTAACGTTGTGGCTGCCGCATGGAACTGAGGCACGTCACGCCACGTCACAGTATGACAGGCCAGGGCCGGCTGCTGTTCCATGATACTGTACAAAAGCCTCTCCCCACATTGTTGCTGAATACGTCATCAACCTGTCAGGCAGATGGGCCTTCTATCGACCCTTCCAGCATCAGGTACCTAACTCTGTACTCCGTGAACTTGTCACAGCGTTCTTTGAACTTTATTACGTTTATTTGCGCTCTGTTTACAAAACGTGATTAAAGATTTGTGATATACATTACAAAGCCCATTAAAGCTCTTGAAGGAAAGTGGACTTCATCGTGAGTCAAGACTAATGAAATTCGGAATTTCCCGACAACTTATAGTTATTGTCTTTCAAACTGGAATAGGAATGAAAGCTAGCCGCCATTTTGGGAACTGGCGCTGGCTCACAGACAGACACATGGACAGATATGAGCTTCTAAAACTTCTGGAACGACGTCGAACATAAATTGTTACGAGAATCCGTCCAACGGCCGTCGAGACATGAAGTAACGCAGCCAGAAAATAATATTCTTGTTATTTACTTCGAGACTCATATGGCGTAGGAAAAATATATACTTGGCATAAAACGCGTCTTTCATTGTTTTGCTTTAAACTCCTTCGGCATGGTTAGGGTTACACGCGAGTTCGTTCCAGACGCACGCAGATCTTCATGCAATGTGGCCGCTACTTTTGTCTGATTTTAACCAAAATAAGAATTGTATAAAAACTTTCAGCGAAAGTCTCCCATGGAAAATTTTGAAATATTCTCTTTAGCGGTTCAAGCGATGATTCTACGTCACAATGTAGCAGCCCATAATAGGGTAAACGTTACTTAATTTAGAAGAATCAGGTCATTTTAGAATTAATTACTCTCGGGCCACAATTTTTTTTCCCGAGAGAGTTAGTCCCTTTCTTGGTGTAAGTGGAGCGGCTTACGCCAATCTTTGAAGCCAGCTGCAAGACAGTAAATCTGTCCAAGTTAATTGAAAACATGAAACCAAGCTTTGTCGAAAATCTAAACTTGATTTGTGCAGAAGTCGTAATTTTAGCAAGGTCTTTGTGGGCCCATGCTACCCCAAATTTGAATTAACAGATATGTAGTAGGTGGATGAGTTTACCCTAAGCCCCTAATTGGAGAATCAGATTAAGCGGCATCCTAGTTTACACTGTCAATCAAAATTTGAAGGGAGGTGTCCTGTGCCCAGAAGTATGTAAATCAGACAGACGCTTCGCTTCAGGAATCCTGGCTAGGGCACTGTGTAATATTTGCTAGTCGGAGGTAGACGCGCCCCAGTGCAGCTCCGACTAAATCATCCACGTCATAACTTCATAACTACTGGGCTACCCATAGACACTGTTGGCATTAAGTTCTGATGCAACAGTGGACTTGTGTATTACGTAATAAAGTATATACCAGTAATAAACCAGCGATGAGTTATCAGTCTATGTTGCTATGTGCGTGAGCAGTTCAGCACCTGAGTGCAACTGCTGCGCACCTAAGTCACGGCCAGAGGAGAGTCACGTCTCCCATTAAGCTAGGCCACTCCTGACCCCACCGTTAAAGAGGACCACTCTTCTTTCTGCTTTTACCCACCCTTTCGGAGTAACTGCCGGCAACCAAGACATCCACCTAACTAATTCCCTGGTCCTACCTCTAGAGGAAACCATATATTTCTCAGAAACCAGGACATTTTCCAGCGCCTCTCATCCATGTAACCCCCGCTTACCTGAAAACGGTAAACAGACGGACAGACATGGTCTCTCCATATAAGGCATTTTTTTTTTTTTACTTCCTAAAAATGCTTAATAACGTGGCGAAAGTTCTCAGTCCTTTATTGCTTCAGCCGATTTAATTGTATGGCTTCAGTTGAAGAATCGCTGAAACAGCCCATGCCGATAATTAAACAATAACATAAAAGGGAAACACCGCTCAGCGTAATGACAAGCCTCTAATCGGGGGAGTAACAACTCAATATGTCGACGTTTGTAGTATAGTTCTAGACAATGTCATTATGTAGACTGGCGTAGAATGCTTGATGAATTACAAATTACAAAGAATTTGGTAGGAAGTAGCCGTGGCCTATTCGAGGTACCATCCAGACCTTTTACAAGATTTGAGGAAACCAAGGAAAACCTCTGTCAGGATAGTTGGCTTCCCGGCCGAGGGTCGAACCGAGCAGGTCCCGAATAAAGGAAATAGCGTCACGGCTAGGAAAACGGGGAATGACGAGCATAATGAGATGCTATGATTGTTCCACTTTGAACTTGAACTTTGCAGTAGAGAGGCTCTGAAGAAAACAGTGACACGTGGAAATGAGATCTGGGTCTCATGTGAGCAGCAGGAAGGCTCTTAGGAGTGAGTCGGTTTCTTTGTGTGGATCTGACAGGCACGGAGAGTGAAAAGAGTGACTCGTGTGGACATTACATCTGGATCTGACAGGCACGGAGAGTGAAAAGAGTGACTCGTGTGGATCTGAAGTGCGAACAGGGACACTGAAGTTTGAGCTTGTTCCGTTTTGTGGACACGTGACTCGTCTGGTCAGAAGGTACACGTATGTACTTGAAGTGTGCAGTGGGCAGACCCACTGTGACCCTTGTGGGTATGAAGTCTGAATCTGGACTGTGACGAGAGGCTGATTCCTGTTCCAGGAAACTGCGACTCGTGTAGATACGAGATCTTGATCTGAACTGAGCAGTAGCCAGCCACTGATTGGCTAGCTGACTGTCTTGTGAGAAGCGTGAGTCGTCTTGATAGGCGGCATGAATTGTAACTAGGTGTTCGGAGAGTGGGCTGACCTTTCTGAGAACAAGTGACTCGTGTGTACAGACGTATGGGAACCTAGAAGCTTTCTTCTGGACACGCAGAAACCCTCAACTTGGTGTAGCGGAATGCCTAGCAACAAAGGTTTCGTTGGTTCTGAGGTTACGTAACCATTTCCGTGGAGCAGAGTCTTACTTGAAAACACAACGGTGGCTCAGCTATTCCAAAAATTTTGTTAATTATATGGAATCCCTATGTTCATTACGTGTTCGCAAGAGGCCACTGAAGGGATTATGAGCTACAAACAGGAATTGTGAACCTTTCTGCTGCTTGATACCTGGCTTTCGCCCTGTTTTTTTCCGGTTTATTGTTAGACCCTGAAGATGGAGGCGATATCGGTTGACTTTCAGCGGACTACATGACGTTATTTCCCAGAAGGTAGTACGCTTCAAGACAATATGTTATATCTTGTTGTAGCTATCTTCTCCTGGACAAATATTACTCTCGGTATGCCGAGAGGGTAAATGACGTAAGAGCAAAAATGTACTTACTTACTTACTTACTTATGGAGCTGAGCCATTCTTGAGGAGCCCCCAATTCTGCAGGTACTCAAGAATTTCCCAGCATTTTATGGAACCCGAGGGTTCATTACCGTGTTCACAAGAGCCCCCCACTGGTCCCTATCCTGAGCCGGATCAGTCCAATCCACACCATCACATCCTACCTCGCTAAGATCCACTCTAATATAGTCCACCCACCTCCTACGCCTTGGTCTTCCCAGTGGTCTTTTTCCTTCTGGCTTTCCCACCAATATCCTATATGCATTCCTCTTCTCCCCGATTCGTGCTACATGCCCTGCCCACCTCATCCTCCTTGACTTGATCATTTTAATTATACTTGGAGAAGAGTACAAGTTGTGAAGCTCCTCATTAAAAAGCAAAAACGTAATTTAGTGAAAGGAAATACGGCGTGCCGAACTACTGAACTATCAAGTGACTCCAGATGTAACATAAGAAGCCTGCAATCACCCATGACGGCCAATATTTCAGTCGGTACAAACTGGTACTGGCGCCAATAATTCCCCATCCTTGGCCTGCAGCTTCGAAACAGATGAAATATTACGTTCATGAATGCTAAGTTTATGCACATATATAAACCTCTGAAACTGTATATACGTATAGCCTATATATTACTGGCTTGCACAGATTCTGACAAAGGAGACGGCACTGTTCCTCCATTCTACTGGACTGAGTGTACCTATCCGAGACTACAAGCGTGTTCTTCAAGACTACTACTGCCGCAACGTCGGATTCGAGGTTCTCACAGCAGTGACTATGAAGAGTTCTCTTTTGGAATACAACACCGTGCAGTCCGATGAAAGTCAACCGACGTTTCGGAAGAATATATCTCTCCATCATCAGAGCCGAAGACTGAGTTAGGCAACAAACCAACATGAAGCAGGCGGCAACGTCGGTTGACTTTCACCGAACAAGGCGGCGTTGCGTCCAGGAAGACAGAACTCTGCAGCAGCTCAGAAAGTTGCGGCCACCAAAGTCTGCTCTGCGGGACTGCAGTGCACCCAAATGCACAGCTCCCAACATTTTCTTTTCATGTGAGAAGCGCCGTTAGGATGTACGTATCAGAGATACCATCTTCTTTCAAGCAGTAAATATATGTTATCACCTTCATAGAGATCACAGACCAGGAGTACGCTTGATACAGTTTTATATATACAACTGTTTTTACATTCATAAAAAGTTCAAATGACGATAAACTCTAAGTTCGATATGAAAAATATAACTTACATTTGTTCACAGCTTTCCCCTGCTTTATTTATAGCTGTTATGAACTTTAATCGCCCTCTTCCCTTCATACAGATACAATCTCAACTGACTCCCTCAACCCTTCAATTAGAATCATTAAACATTTCGACTAAAGAGGCGTTAAAAACAAAACATGCACTTAACACTTCAAGACGTGTTAATTTATCCTGTGATTACGCACTCGCAAGAGATCTCCCATAGATAGGATATAATATCCTTAGATTACATAATCTTCCTGCTGAGTGTACAGTAATTTCTTTGAAATTCTTGAGTAATTTAGTGTTCAGTGGAACAGTTCATTTTGATTGTCTAATGACATGAGCCTTTATGTTTCAGGCATTCGGCTACAATTCTCACTATGTTGATAGCACGCGGAAGAACCGTGGTCACTGCTGTGTGTAGGTGCATGTCGAAGCTTGAGACACTTCCATTCGTAAGTCCAAGGAAAAAACTAAATTTTGTGAGGGCTAGATGAACCGTTACACACTGTACATCTCAGAATCCTTTGACATCTCTCAATGGTTCTAACTCCACATTGTGAGGAACAGAGAAAACAACATTGACGGAACTGAAACATGAACAGCTGAACACATGAAACAGAACAAACAATTTTCTTTTAATTTGTAGGTCTTTCAGTTCAATCCTGGATATACAGCCTTTGTGCGCCAAGGATATATAGGAAATTATAACCTCAAAATTGGAGACAGAACCATTAAGAAATAAGGTTATGGTACTTCCATGATATTTGATATAGGACACATACAGTGCGTACAATCAAGTGCGCGCCGCGGCTGCAATTTGCCGTGAGTCATACCACCGCAGAACGGATGCAGTCGCGGGGAGGAGTTGCAACACTNGGTCTCTTCGCTTGCAGAATTCTTATATTTTCTTCTACCCTGAAGATGGAGGCGATACGTTCCTCCGAAACGTCGGTTAACACCACTTATACACGGTGCCAAATCCCAGAAGACTGCCTTCTTCATAGTCACCGCCGTGAAAGCCTCAAATCTGACACATATTATATTTGTATTATCAAAAGTGTGCATTTTCCCACATTACTTGATGGCCTAAACAAATTTTCGGGCATAAAAACAAGTGACACCCGAGATTTTTCCTCAGCCTCTCCAGATGAATGCCCGAAAATATTCTTGATACAAGCCGTGACCGATTGCTTCCAGATTCCTTCACACTCGACATTCGTAATCAACTTTTTACATTCTTACGATGATATATGACCTCTGCAGTCAACGCAGTGTCATTAAATGACGTAACTGTCACTATCATGATGCTATGTACAGCTTGGTAATATCATATAATGTTCCAATATTTCGAAATCTCACACAAACATTAGATGAGATGTGTCTCTCTGTTCTTCTCTATTCTCAATTTTGTACTTCAGTTTACACTCCCTGAACCGCCTCTGTGGTCTAGGGGTAACAGTTCCTGGCTACAGATCCTGAGGTCCGGGTTCGATTTCCGGCGCTACCAGATTTTCTGATAAGTAGTGGGTCTGGAACGGGGTCCACTCAGCCCCGTGAGGTTAATTGAGGAGCTATTTCAAGAAAATAGGAGCTCCGGTCTAGAAAACTGAGATCAACGGCCGTGCGGATTCGTTGCGCTGACCGCGCGACACCCTCTATCCGCTAAAGTTGGCAGTAACTTCGCCGTCAAGCGGGCGGTCGCTCGGTCGGTACAGTTCGCTTGCGGACTAAATGCCACGGAGTTTTACTGATATTTTAATTATACTATCAGGCTCCCGTGAAAATTATATGTGAGAACAACTGTCGTAGTTTAATAACGCCGTGGTCGAGTAGGTAAAACTCCTGTTCAGTATTCGCAGAGTCCCGGGTTCAAATTTTGGTCCGGAGATGAGCTACAATGACTGAAGTGGTCTGTGTGTTTCCTCAGTTTCTTCAGGCAAATTCAGGTATGGTACCTCATTAGGCCACTACCCCCCTCCCAGAACTTCACACTCTGTAGACAAGTAATTCATTAGTAATTAATCAACTCATTCGACATATTTCTTCAGCAACTTACAGCGTCCAGTGTGATTCAATTTGTAGATATTTATTGTCTTTACATGTTTTGGGCAGCCGACAATCTTCAGAAGGCATAAGATCAACATGTTACTATTACAAATTTCGTAATACATACTTAGAAGCTTGTATGTAAGAAGTTTTTTACAGTTATTTTAATTAAAATCTTATTAATGTCTAATATTAAGATCTTGGATCGATACGTTTTGTGTCCTTGTGTCTCTTCTTATTTGAAGTCCTCATGGGTCCACGCAGTGATGCCCCCCTTTTTAGCTTGTTATGGCTCTGTGTGGTTCTGTGTCCTTTTTGCTGATTTTCGAGGCACTGTGCCTCAAAACACAGGCGGAGGATCTTGGATTCCGTACTGACACGTCCTCCTGACTCGAGCATCCGAAGTCAGTGACATTTACACACCAGACGTATGGGTAACACTACGACGCGGCGACCGCGCGTCCTGTGCGAAGACAGAAAGCTCCATGTGAGTAGAAGTTTGCGTAAAGGTAGGGAAGCTCGCGCCATAGCTCAAGCGTTTAGTCGCTGGCTTCGCACCGCGGCGGCCCGGGTTCGATCCCGGGTCTGGTCAAGTGGAATTTGTGGTGGATAAAGTGGCGCTGGGGCGGGTTTTCTCCCAGTACTCCGGTTTCCCCTGCCAGTCTTCATTCCACCAAATTCTCCATCATCATAATCACATTGGGCAGGAAACAATAGGCAAATCAGTAGCCGCCGTGCCGAGTGGACCCATTTGGACTCCACCCCCCACTAAGCGAATTAAAAAAAATGTATGGCAGGACCTCATACAACACATTCCACCGTTTTCATCCTCTCTGACTGATAAGTCTTGTTATATATTTAGATAGAGGTACATGTGTATACAAAGAGCACAGATGTGCGCAGTAATTTCCTCTTCCCTTCCAATGAACAACAGAAGCTTCCTTGCGCACCTCACAAACACGGCTGTAAGTAAACAGATTTTGTCCCAACCACAAAAGTGTAACGTCTGCAGATATATCGCTAAATGCTAAGGAATGATTGTTACGTTTCAAAACGGTAAGTTTCAGGTTAATAATTACCAACTAAATAAACCTACTATGTCTTCATGGACAAGTTGTTACGTACATAGTCAATGTTTTCAGCGAAGCATATTAAGTAGCTAGACATATCTCTTAATAATGGAGTATTTAAGCAACGCCCAGTAACATTTTGCTCTTTATATAATATCCTTCGATAATGAAGTCTTTGATCACGTTAACGTCAAATAAGAAGGAGCTCTCAATTGCAAATGTCTTTTAGAGTCATCAGTGCCGAGTGCTGCAGTGCTCAACGAGTCTTAAGTACAAGCATACGTCACTTCCGATGTATTCACGCGAGCTCAAGGTCCGTATAAGCATGACAGGGAAACTTACTTTCGACTTGGAATCATAACTTAATCAGGTCTACATTAACTGTGACGTTCCAAACGTCGCGGTTGAGCAGTTGCCACTTCTTCGCATTCTGGAAATCCCGTCTTCGAAGCTTGACAAAGCACCAGGCTACCCTGAGAAGGGCTTTCCGATGTTTACCTCAGTCCCATCAGGCCAATATCGGGATGGTACATCAAGTTAGGTCACAACCGTTTCCTCCCAAATCTTTTACAGTTCATTAATCATTCAGCTATTCGACGATCCACTGTACATCTGAGTTATTGGAAGTGTGTCCATTCCGTCTCTGGGGCCCACCTGGACTCCTGTTTGTGGGTCCCGGCTGTTCTATTCCAGGGGTCAGAGCGGCGGGGGCGTGATACTAATCATTTACCTCCATAAAGTGTCGAAGGTAAAGAGGGACCAGATGTATGCTCCACAAGAACGTAAAGGTACAGAGTGAGTCGTAGTGACAAATTCTGTCTTTCTACCCATATTTTATACTATCTGTGGTTTTGGAGAAAAAACGACGAATTGTGACTGAAGCTTCAGTCTAAGTATCCACAACAATAGGGGGTGAATCAATGAACGAAAGGTGTCAGTTTGTTACTAATGTCCGACGAGGTTGTGCGGTAGAACTGTTACGACGTGGGAGTAGTGATCGCAGTCCAGTCTGATGTATTATTCCATTTCTTTTGGGTGGGTNTCTCCATGAACTCCGTTCACTTCGGTTTTTCTAGATCTTACACATACGGTAGGACTCCTTGGGCGAGTTATCAGCTCGTTGCAAGGCCTCTACCTGTAGACAAACACATAAAAACGCACACAAACATCCATGTCCTGAGTGAGATTCGAACCCACGATCCCGGCTTCCGAGCGAGCGAAGACAGTGCAAGCCTTAGACCGCTCGGCTACCGTGAGCGGCAAATACACAGCTTACATACGTAGGACTCTGAATGGGAAATCGGTCCTTTGTTCCAATTTCCATCTTCATGTAACAACACACACAAATAAAATAAACATGCTTTTAGTGGGGTCGGATCTTACAATGACAATGTGTTGGAAGCCAGTTATTAGTGTACAACTCACACAGGATAAAATTACAGGCCCACTACAGAAGGGAAGTGAAGATCTATTGTCGAGATTTTGTGTGTGCTGTAACCGGTTTGAATTGGTCTGGCTGAACCTGTACCTACAAATTCAGAACAGATCGAGAAAACTGGCCAGAAGCAAGCGCGACTTCGGGAAACGCTACAAAGCAAGGGAACAGCTTGGGATAGCCATTTTCCAATCTGGGAAGAATACTAATACAATAATAAACAAAGATGAGGCTTTCAAATCGGCAGTAATTTCTTTCAGCATAACACTACGTCAGTGTTTATGAATCTTACAACCTAGCATTTGTATGTATACAATGCTATGGAATAATCTTTGATAACAGGATAACATGTTACGTGAACGTTACGTATGAATGTCATGGAGGTTAATCTGTTCCTTATAAAGCAATGCTTACTCACCGTATAGGAGTTTACATGTTTCTCTGCTCTTTACAAAACACAGATATCTAAATACGTATATCCTGTTCATTCATGTCAACGAGTGGAAAAGCCGTTTGAAATCCAAAGGGGAATTTCTTTCGCCCTTGCATTTTTCCCTCTTCTCCTCCATCCCATTCTTCCTTGAATGGCTTGTCTCGTTCCCTCATTCCTCCATAAACATTTTATCCTTCAAACGGTACAGGTCAGAACTCTGAACTGTCCCGTGTGTAACTATGAGAAAAGTACGGTGTTGGAACGCCATAACACACATACACAGAGAGATAACTCACTTATATTACCGTAAACCGTATTGTATTGTAAGATACGTACACATTCCGACAATGTATCCCTATTCTGTGATGTAGTGGACACACAGCGTGTTCCTTTGTTATTCTAATGTACGTATCAGAATGAGGTTAGCTCAAGTGGAAGTGCCTCATATACACGGGGTAAAAATGCATC